AGTATCTATGTACAAGAACTTCTTTCATGCCCAAAGACATAGCTATTGCACAAGCATGTTGCGGTCCAGCACCTCCAAAGCACGCAAGTGCGTGGTTCTTTGTTTCGTGACCCTTCATCTCCGTCAGTTGCCGTATAGGACGGCACATTGTCTCATTAGCAACACTCACAAACCCCATTGCTATTTCCTCCACCGTCATGTCCTTTGCAAATGGATTCTGGCTCTTTCGATATGAATTTATTTGTCCTGCAAGCTTCTCGAATGCTTCTCTAGTTGCTGCTACATCTAAGGGCTGATCTTCGTTGGGACCAAATATGGATGGAAAATAATCAGGAATAACAAACCCCAAAACAAGGTTGGCATCAGTAACTGCTAACTCCCCTCCTTTCCGGTAACAAACCGGACCTGGGTGAGCACCCACAGAATCAGGTCCAACCCGGAAAGCACCAAACTGAAACTTTAACTTGGACCCACCACCTGCAGCAACAGTGTTAATGTCAAGCTGTGGTGCTTGTATGATCGTTCCAGCAATCTGAGTTTCTATAACCTGCTCGTAACTTCCATCATAGCGACTAACATCCGTTGATGTACCACCCATGTCGAATCCAATCAGCGGGTTTTCAGTTTCGAGACCAAAAAGGGTCTGCGAGTAACCAACAACTCCTCCTGCTGGACCTGATAACACAGCTTTGTGCCCTGAGAACCTACTCTCTGGTGCTAGACCTCCATCAGATTGCATGAACAGAACATTGACTTTCCCGAGATCATCGTCAAACTTGGAGATGAAACCGGATAAGTACTCTTTGATCACAGGTGTTAGATAAGCATCCACAGTGGCAGTAAGACCTCGTGGAACAGCCCGGACCATGGGAGTCAATGCAGAAGACAAAGAGACATGTCTAAAACCCATCTCTAACGCCAACTTCTCCACCGCCAACTCATGTTTGGGATACGTGTAGGAATGCATTAGAACAACAGCCAAACAACTTATCCCTTTATCAAGCAGATCCTTAAGCAACGGTTTCAAAGCTCCTTCATCAAAGGGCTTCGCAACTCTAAGAAGCTCGCCAGAAACTCCTTTAATCAAACCCTCTAAGGTATCATCTTTCTCAAGCGCAAGCTCAACTCTTTCATCAACCTCGATAACCTCTTCGTAAAGATTCGAGGGTTTGGCCACAGTGAGATCAAAGATGTCAGGCCGAGCTTGGTTGCCTATCTGCAACAAGTCTTTAAACCCTTTTGTAACACACAGAGCTATCCTTTCTCCTTTCCGCTCCAACAAAGCGTTTGTTGCCACGGTCGTACCCATCCTTATCCACTGAATCATATCCGATGGTATCTTAGACGCTCGTGGGATCTTCTTCCCCGTGTACTCCTCCAGTATCCTCCTGATTCCTTCCACCGGAGCATCGTCGTAGTTGGCTGGATCCACCGACAAAAGCTTTAAAACACGACCATCGGAGTGACCTGGGATCTCGGCGTAAAAATCAGTGAAAGTGCCTCCTCTGTCTATACAAAACCTTAGCTTCCCTTCAACCACAGTACCCATTTCTGCATACATAGTCACATAATTAAATCTCAGATTGACACAAGATCGATATTAATAGATCACAAGTTTGATCCATTAGATCGTACGAAATCGATTATATGATCGGTGATCAGTGGTAGATAATGAGATTTCAGGTAGATTCAATTACAATTTAAACTACAAGAGTAACGAATCGGTGAATCAAAACACATATTGATGAATATACCTTTTCGCCGGAAAGGAAGTTCGAAGAGAGAGTTTTAGCAGAGAGTCAACAGAGCTTAGTGGGTGAGTGAATGATGAGGTGATGATGATCTGGAATGATATGAAGGATCGCTCTGGTTTAATTTGCTTTTCTGGTTTGACTAACCAGTTTACCAATTTTTAAATTCAGCCTCTATTATAATTTGTAGAGTGATTTAGTGAACTACCAAGCTCAAATTAGCAAAATACCATTGATTGGACATAAAGGACACTGACACAACCATTTGGGAAGGAAATGCCGAGAATGCCCTTTCTCTTTCCTCTCATTAACACGAAGCGTAAAAACATTTGTTAACATATAACACTTCTGTTAACGTCTACAATATTTGTTAACAGCCAACACATTTATTATCTCGAAGCGTAAAAATAATTGTTAACAGTTAACACTTCTGTTAACGTCTACAATATTTGTTAACAACGAACACATTTATTAACGCGAAGCGTAAAAATAATTGTTAACAACTAACACTTCTGTTAACCTCTACAATATTTGTTAACCGCTAACACGACGTCGAATCTAAAACCCAGAAAATTGATATCATCAAAAAATTGAGGATTCAAAGCCACTTATGAAAAAAATAATGAAATTGAAAATTTAATTGTATATAGAATGATAGAGATTTGTAAAATAATTAGGGATTGGAGAGAAAAAAAATGTCAAAACTGAGGATTCAAAGCCACTTATGAAAAAATAATGAAATTTAAAATTTAATTGTATATAGAACTAGATATGGACCCGTGCTTTGCACGGGTTTTATTTGATGTTTTATGTATTTTTCACATTAATTCTTGATTTTTTCAGTATTTATTGGTGTAAAACTTATTTTAGTATAATAATCAGTTTTCCTACATAAATTTTGATTAGTTTTCTACTTCAATAATAATGATGTTTTAAAATAGTATATTATTTTTTTCTATAAATAGATAACTTTAAATTATTTTTAATATTTTAGTTAATTGAAACATATAGAATTGGTGTAAACTATCTATATTATTTCTATTGTGTAAGACAATACAAAACAAAAAATAAAAATTAATGTTAGACGTACCAATAAATATGTATTATTGATATTTAGCTAAATATCAAATATATTGCTTGATAAAAATCAAATCTGTTTACCTTAGTTTCAATAGTGTGACTATAACCTCTTTTCTATATATCATGTATTATTGAAACTTTCTTGATATACAATATTTTGTAAAAACTTATTGCCCATATGTTTTATGTCTACTTTAAGAATTCTGAAGTCATGTAGTAGTAACTTTGATAGTGAAGCATACAATTGTCTATGAGAGGCAATATCTTGTATCTGTTGGGTGAGGCTTATTTTAGGAATAAGAATATGTTGACTATTGATCTCGGTTACGACTTATGCTTCACTAATCATGTTGTCTAGGCTAGTTATTTTTAAAAAATTTCCATTGTCATGTTTTTTTGTTGATTTTAGTTCTTTAATAACATGACTGGAACATATATTTTTGAGATAAATTCGTGATTGGGAATTATAATAAATTTCACGTATTTAAAATATGTGGGATATAGAATATGTTGATTTACAACTTCTTTGTTACCAATACTATCAGAACTCAAATATTTCTTTTGCTCACCGTCTAAGCAAATTCTTATTCCTTGGAATAGGCATTGTTTTTTCGATGAGATAATTCTTGTCTTTAAAAGTAAATTTGGAAATCTTTATATATAGACGTTGTAATGTATCCAATAGGATTTGCATTGTTTTGCAAGAGCAATTTGTTGTCTATCTCAGAAGGTAAGTTATTTTGAACATCATTTTAGATGTGAAAGGACATGTATTCACATAAATAGAGAAGTCGGTTATTCATAAAGAAATTAACATTAACATTAACTTAACTACAACAACATAACCAATTTATATTGCCTATAAGAACAAAAACATATAAACATAATAATCACATTTACTTTTGTACAACTGCATAACTGCATAACATATATTTAGACATAGATATATATATATATATATATATATATATATATATATATAATATGACAAAAAATCAACGTTTAAGAAAGAAAAATAACATGCGAAGATCAAGAAACCTAGTTATTTTGTCAACATTTGATAAAAATAAACACGCAAAGATATGAACAACATGCAGAAAAACTCACCGAATATTTTTCTCTAATCTTATTATGATTGGCGACAAAATATGAGAAAGCTTAATCTAAATATATATGTGAATAATTGTAGTTTCTTTTAGTTAATTATTTTTTAAACAGAAAATTAATTATTTAATTATGAAAATTGATTATTCATAAAAATACTGAATTAATTTTCTACAAAAATATCTTGTTTAGGATTTGAAGAAAGAAAAACTACTATTAAAAACTCCTTTACAATCTTCCCATGTTTACAATTTTAGGAAAGGAATTACTATCAAATATTTCTTATAGTAATCTTTTCATTAGTATTTCAGAAAATTAAAATGAGTATTAAATAAATTATTATACAAATAAATTTTTTAAGAATTTTAAAGAAGAAACAAATTTGGTCAAAATTATTCTGAAGTAAATTTCAAAATAATTTTCAAATTTTTATTATCTTATTATATATATTTATTAAGCATGAGATATTTTAATATACGTCAAAATTTAAAAAGAAAAATACTGTCAAATCATATTTTAAAATTACCTTTTTTAGAATAAGGAAATTAATATTTAATAATTTATTTTACAATTTTTTTCTGTTTAAGAATTTTAAAAAGGAAAATTTCTAAGCTACTATTAAATAACTTTTGAAATTAATTTTTACTATTGCATAATTTTTAAAATTCGTTTTTATTATCTTAGCATATATATATATATATATATATATTTAACTATGAGAGATTTTAACACATGTTGAAATATCAAAAAGAAAATTAAAACGAAAAAAAAATTATTATAAAATATAACGAATATACACAGAGAATTAAAGACCTTTTTAAGAAGAAACAAATTTAGTAAAAAAATATTTTCAAATAATTTTTAAACGAATTTTTACTCGTTTTTTTTTCTTATTATATATATTTATTAATCATGAGATATTTCAATATATGTAA